CTAAACTTGTACACTCAGTTGTAAAGCTCATATAACCTAATTTCAGAACATTTTCATCTAAGTGTTCCTTTGAAGGACTCAGAAAACGCCTCAAAAACTCACTTTTACAAGTCATTGAGGTCATACTCAAGTGAAATAGGACAAACATGTAAATACCAAATAGTTTCTCTGGTATGAAAAACTAAAAATGTAAATAAGGATCAAAATGTATATCTGATATTATGAGATAGGAAGGGAGGGGTAAGGGAAAGAAAAGGGAAAAGAAAAAAATATGAGAAAAGGAAAAAATGGAAACTATCTTGTAAATAGGGAAGGCTGGAGGAGGGTGTGGAGGGCGGGGGAATGGGGAAAAATAACCAAGATCCATCATGTAAGGGTACAAGATCCCAATGATGAATGTAAGTAACTACTGTACACCTAAAATGTACCAATGAACTTAATGGGAAAAAAAAAAAAACCCAAAACCAAGTCATTGGTCAGCATAGCATGTTGTGAAGCAGGATTTCAAGTTCTCCACCAGCCTGGGCAACTTAGACCCTGTCTCAAAAATACATATAAAAAGGGCTGGTTGGCTCTGCATGGCTGCACACCCTGGTGATCCCACCTCTTTGGGCAGCTGAGTAAGAAAGATTAACAAGTTTAACTCCTGCCTAGCACTTAAGTGACCAGTGAAACTTTTATCTCAAATGAAAAGGGCTAGGATGTAGCTCCATGCAAAGGCCCAGGGCTCAATCTCCAAGAGGCCCATGTGAGTCCAGCACAGCTCTGCCCACCATGGCTGGCAGCTTACCTGGTATTTCCAGCTTCTACTGGGCTCGGACATCCTTGTAGGAGTTAAAATTTCTGAAGTGTAAAAGCCATTATTTTTTGCTAGGTAGGAACTCAAAAGTGACAGAATCAACTCTTGACTATAAGGACCTTCACATTCAAAGCCCTGTTTCCTTTAGCCTAGGTCCACATCTTCACCATCCCTCCTCCAAGGGTCTCACCAGTCTGAAGGGTTGGTTAGCCATTTCCTCCTTCTGCGTTGCTGTCCTTTTTGAAATGAACTTTAGTACTGGGTTTTCTCACCTGCTCAGCCAGTGGCCTGTGGTGAGGATGGAGGGCGGTGGGAGCCAACGACGTCAGACGGGACTGTTAGAAGTCTCTGCATTAAGATTAGCGGGCACTTTTCCTAGTAGCACTTTCAGTGAGCAGCACAATGTAGGCTGGAAATATTTTATTTATTTTTGGTACTGGGGGTCGAATTTAGGACCTTGCACTTGTGAGGCAGGCATGGTGCCACTGAGCTAAATCCCGGGTCTGAAATATTTTTTTTTTTTTTTTTTTTTTTTTTTTTTTTTTTGGTACTGGGGATCGAACTCAGGTCCTTGTGCTTTTGAGGCAGGTGGCGGAACCACTGAGCTAAATCCCTGGCTAAATGATGTAATTTTGTACAAGTGATCATTTAAAGTTGTGGATTTAAGAGGTTTCACTTTGTTTCTGTGCTTACAAAATTAAGCACATATGTATGTACCACTGAAAGGTTTCACATACTAAAGCAAATAGATGTAAAATATTTTATACATACACACATATATACATATATGTGTACATACATTTATACATGTATACGTACATATA